ATGGAGGAGACAACAAGCTACATACAAACAAGCTATATATAGAACAAGGAGAAAATAATTAAAAAAGGGGAAGTGCTAGAATTAATCGGGGTTGGGAGAGGCTTCCTGCAGGAGATAGGACTTGAGGGAAGCCAGAGGCAGAAACGAGGGGGAGAGCATTCCAGGCAGGGGTGAAATGCAGAGAAAACTCCCAGAGCCCACAGCGATGGAATGTCTTGTCCGTGTAACTGCAAGGAGGCCGGTGGTACCAAGTTGAAAAACACATGGATCGGGTAGGAGGTAAGGATAAGGCATAAGAGGATGATATTCTCTCCATTTACACATGAGGAAACTGAGGCTTAAGTACTTTCTCAAGGTTATACAATGAGGAAGTGTTGGAAGGAGGACTCATTCATTCATTACAATGTGCCAGTCCCCATGCCAGGTGCAGGAGACACAAAGACAAAACAATGAAAGGGTTCCTGCCCTCCAGGAGCTTTCATTCTACTGGGTCTCCTAGCACTAAGTCTGGTACATTTTTACCCTATCACACATAGGGTGAGGGGGAAGGTAAATGGAGAAGGTTTAGGTGTAAAAAGGTCACCCAGGGAGGAAAGTGAAGTCAGGAAAGGGAGCTGAGGTGTGAGCATGGGCTAAGAAAAGCCCAGGGAGTGACCAGGAGTGACCAGAATTCTAAGATGGAAAAAAAAAAGGCAACTGGGAGGATTTTTCTGGAGAAGGTCCAAAGTTTAAAAAAAAAAAACAAATGGGATAATATTGCAGATTAGAACATGTTTTTTCTTCCTTCCTAGGTGGTGCAGTAGACACAGTGCTGGGTCAGGAGTCAGGAAGACCTGAGTTCAAACCTGGCCTCGGACATTTGCTAGCTATGTGGCCCTGAGCAAATCTCTTAACTGAGGCTGTCTGCCTCAGTTTCCTCTACTGTAAAATGAGTATAATAACAGCACCAACCTTCCAGGATTATTGTGAGGATCAAATGAGATACTTTGTAAAGCACTTAGCACAGTGCCTGGCACTTAGGAGTTGCTTAATAAATGCTTATCGACCGGCTGAAGTCAGGACAGTGACTAGTCCCAGGACCAATTCTGTCTGAATCTCCATCAAAAAAGATGAAAAGAACAAAATAACAATAATACCCAGTAGATAGAGTGGGAGGTCTGGAGTCAGGAAGACTCTTATTCCTGATTTCAAATCCAGCCTCAGACACTTCCTAGTTGTGTGACCCTGGACGAGTCACTTCACCCTCTTTGCATCAGTTTCCCCATCTGTAAAATGAGCTGGAGAAGGAAATGGCAAACCACTCCTGTATCTTTGCCAAGAAAATCCCAAATGGGGTCATGAAGAGATAGACACTACCAAACAGCAACCTTTCCTAAAGGAATTCCCACATAAAATAAAACATTTTCAGATGTGTTCACTCCTCCAATACTGCCTTTTGCCAAATCCTTTAGATAAAAGTGTCTGATTTTCTTCATTTTTTCCTCCTCCTACAGTAACACTTGGGGGCTCATAATGACATTTTACACCAATTTTGCAGGTAGTAGGACCTCATAGAATCATAGAATTTGAGCTGGAAGCAATTTTTTTTTCAATACATAAAGGAAGCCAGGGTCTGGGAGCATGGTCACCTTCCTAACATTACAAGTTGACAGTTATTGGAAAAACTGGGCGGGCGGGCCCCCAGGCGTCCCAGGCTCCAAGCTCAGTGTTCCAGTTTCCACACTACCGAGACCAGCAGGTGGTGCTAGGGAGCAAAGCCTGGCTGGGTCTAGGCTTTTTTTTTGTTTGTTCGTTTTTTGTTTTTTGTTAACTTCCTCCTTCCCTATAAGAAAGGGACAAAGGAAATTGTTTCCAGATCATGCTTTTCTCCTGGCAGAAGCCCAGGGCAGGACTTTTCCTTTGGCACTTCCTCCATCCTGCTCTTCTCTGAGAGGAGACCCCAGTCTCCAATGACAATAGCTCACCGTGGCCTGGTGTCATATTGGTCTGGGTGTGCATGAGTCTCTCCTGCCATTTTGGGAGCTTATAGAATTAGTAACAAAATCCTAACTGTACGATCTCAGGGTTAGCTTGTGGAATCTCCAGTGAGGCGGGAGGGAACCCCAATCCTAATGTTTTGGTTACATAGCATGCTACCTGTCACATTGTAACGTCTTAATAAATCTTTTCTGGGTGTTTCCAGCTAGCCACTGGCACCCTCCATTTCTGCCTTTCCCAGCTTGAAATTAAGGCACAGATATGTAGCACAAAGCTGTTATGGTCAATTACAGAAATTAATTAAATTGTAAATTATGACAGACAAAACTCAGGAGTTAATAAATAAATGCCTGACTTTTTGTAAGTGGCTATAAGACAAAAAGGGAAAGGGCAGGCCTGAAGCCTTTCCTGTCATTCCTCAGTTCTTAGGGCTGAGGACTCAGAGTCCTTCATCCTCAGCAGCTTTGGCCTGAATTCTCTGTTGCATTGAGCGGAGGCCTGGCCGGCAGAATGACCCCAAGGGCCTGAATTAGGCCATCTTGCTGGCCCAGCTACTCCCACAGAAAGACCCCTCCCTCGAGGCTGGGCTGAAAACTTCCTGCAGATCTGAAGTCTTCCCTCCCTCCCCCTTTAAAGCCCACCCCAACTCGTCTCCCTTTGGAACTGGGAGTACAGACCCCAGTGTTCCAGGCTCTCAACCCCCCACTCTAATCTAGGGGGAAATCAGTCAGATCTCAAAGAAATTCACGTCCAAACGCCCAGTTCCACTAGGAATCTCCCCCCTTGTTTGCGCTGGTCCAACATTCCTCCTGTAGAAGGGGCTCACTGTTCTGGAGCATCCTGGGGGGGGAGGGGGAGGAGAGTCATGGAATCTTTACACCTCGAGAACCAGAAGGAACTTGAGACATCACCCTCCCTCTGTCCAGCGGCCTCCACTATTTCTAACATTCCGCTGACTCTAAAGTCCACGCTCCTATGATCTAGAATCCAGATTCCAGACCACCCCCCTCAGGCCTAGAAAGGAGTAATCTATTGCTGAAAGTGGAAGCATTATTAATTGGCAGCCCCAAGTCCAGTGTTCTTCCCTGGAGGTTGTCCCTTATCTGTAAAATGGGCCACATGAATATTTACATTACACACACCACTAGCTTGTGGGGAAAGCACTTTGTTAACCTTTATTTTTGTTCAGTCAGTCAGTCTCGTCTGACTCTTTATGACCTCATTCCTGGGGTTTTCTAGGCAACGACATTGGAACTGTTTTCCATTTCCTTCTCCAGCGTGTCCCCGTTTTACAGAGGAGGAACTGAGGTAAATAGGAGTGAAGTGACTTACCCAGAGTCACACAGCTAGTCAGTGTCTGAGGCCACATTTGAACTCAGATCTTCCTAACTCCAGGCCTGGCGCTCTATCCACTGCAACACCGAACAGTCCTTATAAGTCTTCAAGTAGAATAAAAAAACGAGTTATAATCATCAATTATTGTTATCATCATCTCTAGAAGAGGCAGAAAATCGTAATGGATAGAGAGTCAGAAGCCCCGGCTCCAGCCTCTGACATCTCTAGGCTGGGTCACCGGCGGTAACTCTCTGTGCCTACAAGTTGCAGAGAAGGGTCCCAGGGAAGTGCCTTAAGATTCGAAGTGAGGGGAAAGGGGGAGGGGGGGGTTCTTGCCTGGCTCGGTGGGAAAAGGACTTCAGTAATGCCCTAAGACCTGCCCTGGCAGAGACTACATAGTGAACTCAAGTTCAGGGAGCAGGGGAGCTCTGACCCAGTCACAGCCCCCATCAGTGCAAGGGGGAGGACTTCTCCAATGCAGGTCAAGCAAGTCTCTGTGCCAATGGGAAGTATTAGAAATTAGCCTTCTTAAGAATATGCACAGGGGCAGCTAGGTGGCGCAGTGGACAGAGCACTGGCCCTGGAGTCAGGAGGACCTGAGTTCAAATACCGTCTCAGACACATAACACTCACTTAGCTGCATGACTCTGGGCAAGTCACTTAACCCCAACTGCCTCACCGAAAAAAAAAAAAAAAAAAAAAGCAGAGACTGTTCTATTTAGATGATGATGATGATGATGCCAACAACAGCAATCTTTAAGGTTTGCAAAACGCTTCACAGTTATCTCATTCGACCCCCACTACCACCCTAGGAGGTGGGTGCTGTTATTATATCCATTTCACAAATGAGGAAACTGAGGCAGGCAGAGATGAAATGTCTTGCCCAGGGTCAAATAGCTGGATTTGAACTCGGGTCTGCTCAAACACCTAGCTGGCTGCGTCACTGTATCCCAAGCACTAGCACATACATAATGGGCAATTATTTACAGGATATCTGCTGGGTCATAGATTTACAGCTGGAAAAGACTTTAGAGTAGAATTCAAAGAAATCGAGGGAGGAACCGATCACGACGTGGCTGAAGTAGCATTTGAACTCAGGACTTCTAGCCAGGGGGCCATCTAGCTCGACTACAAAGCAAATTGCACTTTGGAACGCTTAAAAGCGGCTTGTAAATGATAGCTATTATTACAGTCCGGGCATGTGGAAGGGTTTCCCCTTTACGTCATCATTAATCTGCTCTCACCGGAGGAAACAGAAACCACGTCCATTTCCTTCATCCTCTCGCAGCGCACCAAGTGCAGAGTCTGGTTCTGAGACTCGAAACGTTCCTCCCTTTGGACTCTGAGAGATAGAATGATCCGCCTCTACCCCTCCCAATTCTGTCGCAATTGGTCTCGTCCGCCCTTGGCCTCTCGCTGACCCTAGACCGTACCTCTAGCTTCCAAAGAGGGGGGAGGACGTTCCACTAAGCTCTAAGTTGACGAGGCTTCAGGCCATTGTAGTCTCTCCTCTCAGCAAGCTGCCCCTTCTTTCTAGGACTTCCCCCTTCTCGAAACGTTGCCTGCTCCTTGCTAGGCACGCACCAGAAGCGTCGGCTCCCTCCCGCAGGGTTTACCCCCCCATCCACTTGGTATAGCCCCGGCGTCCTCCTCGCCTCCTGTCCCCGCCCCCGACCCCCGCCGTCCGATGCCCGTCCCAAGATGGCGGCGCCCTTGTGCGGCGGCCGGGTTGGCCTGCGGGTGAGTGGGGCTGCGCGAGAGGCCCCGGGGGTGGCGCGTGGTCTCGTGTCCTGCATCTCATCTTTCTCCTCTCTTCTCACCCCAGGTGGCCGTCGCCGGGGTCCCAGAGATGCTGTCCGCCTGCCGCGGCGTCCACACCACCGCTGTTTGCTGTAAGGTGAGGCGAGGGGGAAGGGGAGCGCGTGTGGGGGCTGGGGGGAGGGGGAGGGAAAGGGGGCGGGCCTCTGGAGAGCAGTGGTCTCGCGGGAAGAGCGCGAGGACCGAGCACTTTGGGAGAGGAGGGGCGTGTTCTCCGTGGGGGGGTACCCACGCAAGAAGGGGCACGAGTGGGGGCGGGGCGTGGAGGCAGCAGTTCGTGACCTCGACTCCTCCCCAGAACCGAGCGGCCCGGGTCCGAGTGGGGAAGGGGGACAAGCCGGTGACCTACGAGCGAGCCCATCCCCCGCACTACATCGCCCATCGCAAGGGCTGGCTGTCCCTGCATACGAGTAAGTGGGGACCCCCCCCAGGTCGCAGGTCTGGGTGCTCCTGGAGGGGGGAGTGGGGTTCTGCTTCCACCTTCCACGGCCTCTGCGTGGGGACACCGGGCTGGCCTCACCTTCTGATCCCTATTCCTCCTTTCCGTGACTTCTCAAGAAAACCCCAACAACCTATCACACTCTCTCCCAAGCGGGGACGGAGCACCGTCCTGCCCACCCACCCCTACCCCGCCCAAGTCCTGCTTCCTGCTGATATCTGGGGCCCTTTTCTCCTGGACCTGTTGTCCCCCTGCTCCCGACAAGGAGGAGCGGCATCTTATTGCAGCTGTGACTTGGGGAGCCCCGATCCCCCTAGGTGGTCCGTGGGGCCAGGGGTGCGGGTGGGGTGCTCAGGGTCCTTCATCCCCAGGTAACCTGCACGGAGAGGAGGGGGCCGCGGAGAGGACGGTGGAGGACGTGTTCCTCCGCAAGTTCCTGTACGGCACCTTCCCGGGCTGCCTGGCCGACGAGGTGGTCATTAAGCGCCAGGCCAACCAGCTGGTCATCTGCTTGCTGGTGCTGCAGCGCCTGCCGCCCTCCAAGCTCTACTTCCTGGTGGGCTACAGCGAGGCGCTGCTGTCCACCTTCTACAAGTGCCCGGTGCGCCTGAGCCTGCAGACGCTGCCCACCAAGGCCATCTACAAGTACATCTAGGGCCCCACCAGCCCAATGAGTGTGGACCCTCCGGCCTCAGGACCAACGGACTCGGTTATTGCTGCTACTGGAGAAAGCCTCTCGTGTACATCAAGAGGGCGGTGGTCTTCAAAGTAGGGATCAGCGATTTCTTATTAAATTAACGTGTATAATAAAGCTTTTTGTTTCTGGTATGTTCTCGTCTCAAAGGAAGAGATCTGGTCCTTTTAGATGAGCGTGAATGAATGAATCAAGAGGCATACGTTGAGTTTTACTATGTTCAAAGCACTGATGCTACAAATAGAAAACTGAGGCAGCCCCGGCTGTCCAGCAGATATAGGAAGGCCCTGTGGCCCAGGGTGCAACTGCAGGGCATGAAGAAGGGGCAGATGGTAAGGGTCAGGTGCCGGGAGGATTGAGGATTAGAGCTGTGAACAATGGTTAACGAAATATTTCAAAGAATGATAGGTTTTAGGTGACAACCCCTTGAAGCCTCTTGTGGACAGTAAGCTGGGCATTCGTTATCTTGTAGATTTAAAATTGGACAGCAGAGGGATCAACTGTTCCAGCCTCTCATTTAACAGATGAAGAAACTGAGGTCACAGAGAAGTATTAAATAGCTGAGCCATGGCCTCTTTTCCCAGACATTGCTAGCATCCTTTCCACTATATGGTGTGTTCTGTAACAGCACACTGAGTTTTTCCTCCATCTCCCTATGTTTCCACCTCTGTCTCTTTCCTTGTCTACCCTGTCTCATGTTGCTTTGTCCCATGTCGCTGTCTCTGTCCAGGGCTTAGTGAGGTGAGGGGAGGGGAGGATGTGGTTCCTTTCTATGCTCCTCTCATACCAAATAAGGGTCCTCTCCCTTTAACTGTCCATAATTAGAATATTCTTTAGTTGGTAGGAAATGGAGGGAGATGCCACTCATTTCCTAACAGGATGGAAGCCACAGTAGTCATTAGGGAAGGGGTCAGTCATTTCTACAATCTTTCTCTGAACTGCTGGATCTGCAGTGTGGTCATTTCCTCTAGAGAGGCAGTGGGTGTGGTCCAGTGGAAGGTGGGCTAGCTTTGGAGGCAGGAACTGAATTTGATTACTGCTTGAATTCCTGTGTGTCCTTGGGCAAAGTGTTTCCTTTCTCTGGGTCTCAGTTTGCCCTATCTACAAGATGAGAGAGTTAGCTATGTGACCTCTCAGCTCCCTTTCAGCTCTAAATGTGTAACTGTAATCTTGGGAAAGTCAGTGAACTGATCTGTGAAAAGGGGAACAATAATTATGCTTGTACCTATTTTTCGAGGTGATCACTTCATGAATTTTAAAGATATCTTTTAACAACATGAGCTGATGAATGTCCTTTGCCCAAGAACTTCGGGTGTGTGCTATGCCTTGTTTTTGTGTAGTGTCCATATACTTAACAGTGAATCACACAGAAGGATTTGGGGTTGATTGAGAGTGAGAAATTCCGAGGGTGGTAACCATTACTAGAAAAGTCTGAGGCATATAAAAGTTAATCAACCTGCCCAGGTATCAGAAGCAGGATTTAAACTCAAGTTGAAACCATCACTGACCTTTATACCGTGCTGCCTCTTAATGGGTAATAGCTGGATCCCTTTAGAAGAAAGATGTGTTATTCCAAGCAGGAAGGCTGGGCTTTGATATGAAGGGCAGGGAGATGACAATAGCAGTGACTAATCCCCCTGCTGAAGGAACCAGTCTCTTCCCCTCCGAGATTGCCTGCCTATAGCTTTGTCCAAATGAAACTAGCCCAGGCTCCTGGACTGGTTTTCCCACAATGGCCTTTATGCACAGCTAAGCTGACTGCATTGGCAAGACCGAGACCAAGAGAGCTAAGTGAGACTTGGTTGTGACTGGCCTGAAGTTGGATAGCCAGGGACTTGTTGCCAAAAGAAAATCCCAAGGCCTCCCTTAGATGGTGAAATTGAAGACAAAGCATCATCTTCGCCCAAATGGAAAGTGGGAGAAAGCTGACGTTTGCTGTGCTGCATCTTTATTATAGGGAACTGGTATCCCTGATGCTTCCCTGCAGGGGGCAGCCTAAACCAGCAGATGGTCCAGTGGCTCCCCACATGCACCCCATGCGTGTACTAGCTAACCATAGAGAGTCATAGAATCACAGACTTGGAAATGGAAAGGACCTTAGAACTCAACTGAACTTCAGTGGTCCCCTGCTGCCCCTGGGATACAATTGTTTAAAGTCTATTTTTACAAGCTGATTATACATTATTCCCTTCCATACTCGGCATTCCTGACAAAGTGCCCCATTTGCTATTCTCCATGTATGACGTTGCATCTGTGTACCTTTGCATAGGCTGTCCTCCGTGCTTGGGTTGACCTCCCACTTCTCACCTCAGTCTCTTGGAAACTAGTTTACTGCAAGACTGGGCTTCCTTCTACAAGAGGTCTTTTCTGATTCTGCAAGTCATTAGTGCCGGCTGGACCTGCCCTCTCCCCCCACTATCTACCAAAATTACTCTTGAGTATATTCCCCACTTCCCAGGATTTTGTAAGCTCTTTGAAGGAAAGGACTTTTTTGTCTCTGTATTCCCAATGCCTAGCACTTAACCAATCGCCTAAAACAAATGCGGGTTGAATTGAATCTAATTCAGTTCTCTTATTTTACAGATGAGGAAACTGAGGCCCTGGGAGGGTCAATGACTTATGCACAATCACATAGCTAATCAGTTGCAGAAGTGGGTTCCAAACCCAGATAGCTTGTAACACCCAAGTCCAGCTCTTACACCATGTTACCTCTGCCCACTAAGGGATGGGCATGGTGCCCACTGGCTGGTAGCAGCAGCTCTATGGAAACAGAAAGAACCAGGCGGCTTGAAAGAGCTGTTTTGAGTTTTTCCTCTAGTGTCATTTCTGTTCTGGCAGATGCTCAACCCTGGCACCCTGCTGTGTTTACCCTCTCTTGGATTGGCTGGGATGAAAAAAGTATTTTCCTCTCCTCTTGCTGCAGGCTGACATTCTTGTTCCTACTCTTTTCTCCAGGATTTGTTTTTCTAGTCCTGGAATCCTAGGGGCCTGTTAAAACTGGGGCCGGGGGGGTATCTATGTTCGTTGGTTCCTGCTTCCTCATCGTCCATTCTCCCTAACCCATTGCAATCTCGTTTCCATCTCTACCGCTCTAATAAAACTGTTCTCAGAGATCCCCAAAGACTACCTAATGGACACGTCATACTGGTCTCTCTTCCCCCCCACCCCAGTCTTTATTCTTTTGGATCCCTCTGCAACCTTCAACACTTTTGGCCATCTTCTCCTGGAGACTTCCCTCCCTTGACCTCTGAACTCTTTATTCTCTTTTTATCTTTTGGTCATTATTCTTGTCTCCCTGGCCAACCTTTTCTGATCCTTTATTTGATATTTCCCAAGAGTCTGTCCTTGCTTTTCTTCTTTCCCTCTTTATTTTCTCCCCTTGCAATCACATTCACTCCCATGGCTTCAATGACCAGCTCAGCACAGATGATTCCTAAATCTCTCTCTCTCTCCAGCCCTGACCTCTGTCCGAAGCTCCAGGCCAACCTCACATTTTCCTTATCTTAAAATACAGTGGTTTACCAATAAGGATAAACCTACAAGACCCTTCAGATCCATGCAGACAAGTCTAGCTCAAATTCAACATGTCTAAAACCAAGCTTTTTTCTTTTCTTTACAGATCTGCTTCTGACTTTGTCATTTCTGTCAGGAGTACCCCATTCACCTAGTCTCCCAAGTTTGAATCTTCAACACTTTTTTTATATTATATAAAAATTTAATTAGATATGAGGTAACAACTCTTGACTGGAAAGAAATTATATCTTCACCCTTTATCTAAAAGTCCAAAGTGTAACAATCAGCATCTGTCAACACTCTTTATTACTTTCCCTTTTCCCTAACCTCCCATAGAACCAACAATTTGCCAAATCCTGCTGACTCTACTTCCATAATTGTCCTGGCCTCCGTCCAGATGTAAGGAAAGAACAGGCCAATCAAATGCTCTGTGACTTCACTCATGATCTCTGTCACTTTCCTGATCAAAACAGCCCCATCTGGTCACCCACTAATCCCCTGGTGGATTGTCTTCTCTTCAGAATGTAAGCTTTCAAAGGACAGGGACTGATTTACTTTTTATAATTATATCCCAGGTGCCTAACACATAGTAGACATAATAACAGATGCCCTTTTTTTTTTTTTTAAGGCATTGGGGTTAAGTGACTTGCCCAGGGTCACACAGCTACTAATGTCTGAGGTCAATTTTGAATTCAGGTCCTCCTGACTTCAGGGCTGGTGCTCTATCCATTATGTCACCTAGTTGCTCCTACAGATGCTTTTTTTTTTTTATTCATTCAGTCTATTCTTTTTGCATGTTCCAGGCTTTACACACTGCCCCTCACTGTGCCTTTGGTAGCAAGATTTATCTTACTGATGCATAGAACTGGGAATATGACTCTTGTATTCACTTCAACCCTTCCAACTCCATATTGGGAGCAGCTAGGTGGTTCAGTGGATAGAACACCAGGCCTGGAGTCAGAAAGACTCATCTTCCTGAGTTCAAATCAGGCCTAAGACACTTAATAGGTGTGTGACCCTGGACAAGTCACCTAATCCTGTTTGCCTCAGTTTCCTCATCTGTAAAATGAGCTGGAGAAGGAAATGACAAACCACTCCAGTATCTCTGCCAAGAAAACCCCAAATAGGGTCATGAAGAATTGGACATGACTGAAATGTCTCAACAACAAAGTTCAAATTCCTTTACCTAGTTTTCAAAGCCCTCCACAATCTGGCTTTACCCTGCTTTCATCCTGGTTTCCTTGTTTCATGCCACTCCCTTCCACATATTCTACATTCTGGCCTAACTAGGCATCTTACTGTCCTTTGGATGTTTCCCACCTCCGTGCCTTTGCCTATGCTGTTCCCTATCCCTTCTCCCCATACAACCTGTGGAAATTCCCGCTACTGTTGCTTCCTCAAGGAAGCCTTTCCCTTTCTCTAGTCTTTCATCCCTTCAAGCTGCTCATACCATATTGTTTTTAGTTTCTCTTAAAACATTTATAATGAATTAGTTTGTGTGTGTGTGTATGTGTGATCTTCCAATTAGACAACTCCACAAGAGCAGAGACTGGATTGTCTCAAAATCTCATTTCTTTCCCATCACAGGGTTCTCCTTACAATAGGGATTTAATTAATGTTC